GTAATTTCTAGTTCTCCTTGGACACTACACCTATGCCACTGATACATCACAATAGGCTGTAGTGTAAAATTCCTTACTCTTCCTCCTTTCTTCATCCAGCCCACCTCCACCCTTTGCAGTGATGTCAGCTGCTGTCACTCTGGAGCTTAGGATCTGGTGAAGGTGTCTTATTGCTGCTTTTGCCACCAGTGTGGATCTATAAGATCCACACTGTGATGACTGCTCATGAAATAAGTCATCTTGCTGAAGAAATAAACTCCTCCTCTGCTCTTTCCACCTCAGCTCCCTTGAACTCAGAGCTCTCATGTCCTATGCTGCCAGCATCCCAGAATCTAATAGGCAATGGAGACTCAAAGCAAAATAATAAGCACCTCGCAGTACATATCATTACCCAAAAATTCTGTCACAGTTACTCTTCCCATTGCTGAGACAAAATATCTGACACCCCAAGGTAAAGGAGGAAAGATTCCAGTCCATATCAGCTGGCTCCAAGACAGGGTGGCTCGTGTTAGATGGGCAACTGCTTATGGCAGTGGAAGACAACAAAAGCAACCTCTTTTGTGTTATCCAGACTGCTGGGATTAGGTCAATTCTAATCCAATCAGAAAATTGATCCAGGATTCACTCACTTTTAATTGCAGTACCCTTAATGTTAGCATTCTAGCTTCAGCTGCCTCTGAGAAAGTAACATCTGAAAGTGCGTGAGGCTTTTGGGGGACATCCAGACACAAACCATAACACCTTCCAAGTACTGTCACCTTATTAAACCATGACTAAGTACTCAGTCCATCTTCTCTTAGGGCTTTCACCCCAAACCCAAAAGTTTATTCGTCTTTTACAAAGAGGTCCATTGTGGATTTGTTCTGCCAGTTTTCTGAACATATCTGTTTCTGAAATCCTGTGGCACACAATATTTAGGTTACATCTTGCACTTTTGTTATATGTTATATTCAAATAGAAATACCTAAATATATCCTTGTTTGTCATGTAGAATTGTAGTTTTCTTTAATATCAGCTGTAATCATCTTCTACAGATAGGACCATGATAACGTGTTAGGTAGTGCTTTCATTTCTTTAACTAAATCATTATTAATAGTAGTTTGATGAAAATTTTTGCATTTTATTTGTTTCTGGATTAAGAAGTAGAGGCCCAGAAAATTTCAGCTAATAGCCCTGAATCTAGACAAATATAATTTAACACATATTCTGTGACTTACATGTATACTTTTATTTTGGAAACACAGTCTGATCTCCTTCCATGTTGCTTTACAATGATTGATTTTGAAATATTCACAGCAAGTAGCCAATAGTGTAGAATAATATATAACCTTGAGTTGGTCAGGGAGTTTGCATGATAAATAATAAAATAGACAAGTGAATGTAAAAATATGTAGCTAGTTTAAAAAAACAGCAGAGAGGAAAGGATTTTTTAAACCTTTGAGAAAAACTAATATCCAATTTCTAAAAATACAGTCTATAAAATATAGATTAGCATAGCATCTATTTTATTTGAATGTTTTCACAAGTTGAAATTATTTCTTTAAATTATTGAAACATGAAAGAAATTATGTAACTTGTAATTATTTCTTAGTTTTCTACAGTGGAAATCACTTTTTACCATGTATTTCAGTTTAGAAATTGAAAATCTCTGATATTATTATTTTCAAATAAATAATGTTTTCTACTGAAAATATGAATAAAGTAAAAATCTAAAGCTGAATTAGAATTCTAGTATTAATATTTTATATTAATATACTTTTATAATAATATTGTATTCACATTTCAGTATTAATATTTTACATGATGCACTGTGCACATAATTTTTAAAAACTATTTTGTGACCTATTTTTCATTTTAAAGTATAGTATACATTCTGGGATTTCATAAAATATGCTTCTGACATATTTGACAGTCATTGATTCAAGTTACTTTTCTCTAGATATGTTTTTCACTTGATGTTGAGTCCAACAAACTTTTTTTTCCTTTCATTGCATTTTTTATTAGTTCATGTTTACAGTATATAATGTTTATATTACTTTTGGGGAGTTATTACCTTGAACATAGTGCATCTTAATTATTTTTTATCCATTTCCTGCTCCTCCCTCCCTTTCATTTTGGGGACCATAAAGGGACATGAATGGAACCCTAAAACAAGAGTCAATTTTGAAGTCACAATCTATCTATCCAGTCTGATAAGACAGGAGCATTTCCTTGCTAAACCTTTCTTGAAGTTTTTTTTTTTCCCGCTAATTCTCTTCCATCCTGTTTCTCTTCTTCACTTCTTTCGTCTTTTCCTCTGTTTTTCCCTCAGCCGTTTCTCTCTCCCTCTCTTCTTTCCATGTTCCTACTCCTATGATGATGGAACTCTCTGGGCTCTGCACTAGGCTCTCCATCTGAGGGGACCCTCTCTTTCATCTCTTGTTTCTGCTTGCCTCACTGCAGTTCACATATCCAGAGCATAACCGAAAACCTTGAACAAAAAACCAAAAACAAACAAACAAACAAACAAACAAAAAAAAAACTGACTTTGGGCATTAAAAAAATCTATTAAGGTTGCTAATTTTACTTTGTTTTTGATCTCTGTGTTTTGTTTGCTCTTTGCCAGGTTAGCAATGAAGCTAAAATGCATTTAATATTTTATTCAGAATTTGCTTCTTTCAATCAAAAGGATTATTTCCTGAGTTTGTTCTGCTGTATGTCAGAAAAGAAGGTCAAAAATATTTACTTGGAAAGATTAAAAATATATCCTGTACAGTTATAATTGTCTTTCCCCAAATGAAATGATCATTTACCTAATTTAAACATTTGTGAAATAATAGATTAATCAATTTAGTGAACCTCCTTTCAATTACCTGTTACAATATTATAATGATGACAATAATACAGCAACTTTACTTTGAATAGTTACAAAGTATTAGGTATGTGTCTGAATTTTAATTTATAGACTGTTAGAGTTTTGTTCTTACACAAATATTGACTTACAGAGTAAAAATTACCTCCCTATTCCCATATCACTCCATGATTGCTTATATTAACAGCTTGCATTACCATGGTACATTCGCTGCAATTGAGGGAGTATTAATTAAGTCCTTTATAAACTTACGTTTTCAAACATGTCTTTGAATAGTATCAACAAGTAGACAGGATAACATATTATGCTCATTTCAAAAGTCAGAAACCTGAGATTGAAAGCTAAAGTTAAAATTCATTAAAAATGTGTAAGAACAAGAAGTAGAAACAATTATTTTCACCATTCTGTTTTAACTATCTTAAGAATTCCTGCACCCATGTTTATAGCATCACTATTTGTAATAGCTAAATTCCCAAAACAACCGAAATGCCCATAAAGTGAGGAGATTGAAAAGATATGGTGCTTTTATACAATGAAGTACTACTCAGTCACAAAGAAGGATCAACTTGAGAATTTTTTAGGTAAATGGATGTAACTTGAAACCATACTCATAAGTGAAATAAATCAGACTCACATGTGTAAACATTGCATTATTTCCCTGGTGTGAAAAGTTGAAAGAGTAAAAAGGTCTAAAATGCACAATAGATATTATGAAATGGGGAGAAATTGTTAAAATGGAAAAAGAAACAAGGATGGGGAAAAGGAAAAGGAAGGAAGGGAAAGGGGAAAAACTGCAAGTTAGTTATACTATTAGTGTCGCTTAGTTCATTGAAAAGGAAGGTGTGTGCTATTATGGATTGGAAAAAAATTTAGGCCCATATCTTATAATCTGATTAACTACTTTACAAATAATAACATGAACTATATTAACTATTACTATTCTCCTACCATTGTGTTATGAAATTTTGTTTCATTTTTTTCTATTAAAAAGAATTTCTGTATTTTGTCTCCCTTCTATGTGATGAAATATATGCATATCATTGCAAATTCAGTTAACATTTTGAGACAGGATCTTTTTGATAGACACTTGGGTTGCTCTCATACCCTGGCTATTTGAACAGTGATACAATGAACATGAAAGTGGAAGCATCTTATACAGTGATGAGTTCAAGTCTTAGGGTGTGTGCTCAGACTGCTGGCTCCTGCGAGGGCTCTATTTTTAATTCCTTAGTACTCCGCATTCTTTTTTCTACATTCCCATGATCAGTGCCCAAGGTTTCCTTGTGCTCCACACACTCATCAATATTGATCTTCTCGATAAGAACCATTCTTACAAGTGTGAGGTGGTGACTCACAGAGGCTTTGATTTGCATTTCCCTGAAGATTAATGATATTGATTAATGATATTTTCCTATTCTTATAGGCATTTAAAAAAAAAAAAACTTTTGGAAAAGTGTCTATTCAGGTCCTTTGATCATTGGCCTAATTTAATTTTGCTCTCATAAGGACTTGCTCTTTGTCTAACAGCAATACAGGGGCACCGGAACACAGCAAAAACACCTCTCTTAGGATGTGCCAAACCATTTATTTCCTTGCAATAATGTGAATTGTTCTCATAACTTTAACTGCTCTTGGCAGTCAGTTGTGCTTTAAATAACAGCTATAGGGCCTAAAAAGTAAAGCCATACTACTCTATCTGTAAATTATTTCTCTATATATGGGATCAACACTAAATGTATAGTTTTTATGACTTACTTGTCAATTCATAAATAAAATATGCCTAATAAAGCACTTTATTTAAATGGTGATTTGTGTTGGTTCAAATATCAGTATCAGAACTGATATTATATTGTAAACAATTCCAGTATCATTGGTCTTTTGACGAAACATAATTCCATTTAATGGATTTCAGATACTCTGTGTGTAAGTGAAACCCACTTACTGCTATGCCTTCCTTCAGCTCTTTGGTGCAAACAATAATTTTCACTCATCTATTAGCATGATGTTAAGGTGATACTCTAAGCCAAATTTTTGGCTTCTTGAAGTATGACTAATTAATTTTTAAAATGTTATAGTGTTTTAAAAGCATAATATGTTTTGGTGCTATTACCTAGACATTTATTAATGTAATTTGTATTTTGTGTTATAGTGAGTGGACATCCATTACTCAAAAGAGCTAAGATCCGGATTGTTGGGGACTTGGTGGCCAGATCCATAAGAGAGAGGAAAATGAGGAAAATATAAAGCATGAGGAGTTGAATAAGGTTTTCAATGCAATATTTTACTTTTAATAGTTGAATCTGTCTATCCCAGAAGACTGAATACTAGTGACCATAGATTAATTTAGTGTCGAGAGAAAAACATACATCTTTGTACATGCAAAGAACTTTGATAACAATAATTTCTGAGTATCTTTGAGTGAACATCTTTCATTTTTATCTTATTCATAAAGATATCTGTCTATTGTAATTACATGAACTCACATGTTGTCATGTATTGCTTTCATTAAACTAAAATTTGATTTATACCATTACCAATAAAGGCCTTAAAGAACTTTTTGAATTTTTTCTAAAACTCATAATTCTTATGTTAAATGCTATTGGTTTCATCTTTTATGGGTATGAATAATTATAGTGTGAATTTTGTTGAAATCATATACAGTCATGTTTTGATTTTGGAAATATACTTCATTACATAATTTTTGGAAATAATTTTTAAAATGATAATACTATTTTTCTTGACTCATTGTCATTCTAAAGGGAAAAACTGAGAATTCATATGCAATATTTCTGATTCTATTTGTATTAGTTCTAGATAATTTGAAGCCTAGTCAATAACATCAATGCCTTAAGTCTTGAATTTATTTTATATATCTGTCCACCCATCCATCCACCCATCCATCCATCCGTCTATCCTTTCTTCGTCAGCATACCTGTGATTAGCCACTAGAACAACAAGTGAGGGCCAGTAGTTGAAGGAACAGAATATGCTCATAACTTGAATACTAGATGTGAATACATACAAGAACTATGTGACAGGTGTTCTATTTCATTCAAAGCTTTTATCCTGATTTGTTACTCTTTGTTAGACTTTTAGTCTTCAAACAAACAAATGAACAAATAAACTCTTTCAGATTGCTTATGTGCAGTAGAGTGTACAGTTAATATATTTGGAGATTACTGAGATGTAGCTTTAGAAAAACCAGTTACAAGAATCACATTAAATCCAGACCTAACCAAAACCAGAATCTAGAAGGACTAAAAAGCATAATGAAAGCTAACCAGAAAAATTTGGGCGGTAAAACATTCAGTAGGGGAAAAGTGATTGCTAAGCTAAATAATTTATCTGTGATATTGAGTTCATATTTGTTCTCCTTTTTTTGATGGTTGGGAGAGTATCATCCCAAAACTTTCATTTTTCTTTATTTAAACATCAAAAATGGTGGAAATTTTCTATTAAACAAGAGAAGAAATTTACATATGATTTGAATATCGATATGGTAACAGATAACTCACTTTCTCCTTTTTATAATATTATTAGGATAAAGTTTTGGCTAGATTTTACCACTACTACCCAACAACTTGGGAATAAGTGCATGTAGTTACATAATAAAGGCACTTAATTAATAATGGCATCTTAGTGAGATTTCTAATCACTATGCCAAATGGTAAATGTATGAGAATATAATATAAAGTCAAACAATTATAGTGAGATTTACAATCACTGTGCCAAATAGTAAATGTATGAGAATATAATATAAAGTCAAACAATTTTAAAAATAAAATGCAGTAAGTTGCAATTATGATGGTTTAGAGCAGGATAAAAGTTCATCTTTTCTTTAATAAAATGTGAATCTCCTATCTCACATTTCCTACATTTGACTATTCTTGACTTTTTGTAAAATGGAGTAGAGCTACTGAATGTCTTTTAGAGGTGTGATCTCACATTAAGTTCAGTGACAATATGTCACTCCAGAGCTGCAGAAGACAGAGTAAGGTCAGGGAAAAGAAGCCTTCACTTTTCAATAGTCAGTTTCTATATAAAAATTGGCACTCGGTACTCATCAAAGAACAAGAAATATTGGATATGCTCTAAATGTCCATTGTGTTTTTGAGCCAGCTACCTGATTGAAGTCATCACTTATATGTAAATGAACTGTCAATGGCTTGCCACAGTTGGCAATCACTGGACTGTGAAGGGTATGTCTTAATAAGAACTGAGGCTCTTCACAGACTTTGATTTACTGGAAATAAAATAGAAAAGTCCTCTGAGACTACAAAGGACACTTGTTTCAGATAAAACGTCTAGACAGTAGCAATATATTTAAGGCTTTTATTATAGCAAAACTGCAAATTAGAATGGAGTGGTGAGAAAGTTCCTGTGACCCAGCTGAATTCTAAAACACTGCTTCTGACTAGAGTAATACGATCTTTAAAATAGCTAAGCCAAATTGAATCAAAGTGCATTAGGGAAAAGGAAAAACAGAAACAAAACAAGGTCAAGATTTAGATTTGTTACATCTTTTAAATTGTTTTTATGTGCTGTGCTTTACTTTCTTATAAATCTGCATTGATATTAATAAATATTAGAATAGTTTAAAACAAAATTTCTATGATCCTGTAACATCAACCACTACTAAAAAAAATTCAATTTAAGATTTTTCCCTCTCTATTCCTTTTCAACTTCTATTCCAAGGCTTAGACATAATAGAAACTCTGAATTATGTGTAACTCTTGATATTTTTATTAATATTTTAAATAATATACTGATGCATGCTTTTGAGTTTGCAGTATACTTTCACACTTAGAGTTTTCCATATACTTTGAGTAGGGAAGCTTTAGTAAATAAAATTTTTATGTTAAGTGCTTTCTCTGGGCACACTATGCTCCCAGAAGTGCATCTTTGGGTAAGTTAATAAGTTTGAAAAACAGTCCTAATAGCCTTGTTGATTAAACATAATAATTTCCTTATCATTTTCTTCACAATCCACCATGAGTCAGTAGAACCTCTGTTCCATGCAGTCTTTCAGAGATTCAAGGGGAAAGGAAGAGAAACTTAATGAAATTCTGAACACGTTTGCTGCATGTTTTAGACAAATGTGGTAAACTAAGTCAGGTTAGTTAAGATTTGTCACTCATTATTTTTAAGGCTTCAAGATTTGAAGTTATTAAACAAATCCACATTATGTTTTCCTTGTATTTGTGCTTTTTTTTTTTTTTTTTTTTTTTTTTTTTTTTTTTTTTTGAGAAATCTCTTTATCCTTTGCTGGCTTTCTGTATTGCAAATATAGCAAAAAGCAAACAGTGATTCAGGCTCCCTTATCCCCACACTAAACTTTGCTCTGGAGATTACTAACGCATAGATTCTCCACAGAGCTTTTGACCTATGGGAAAGCCTCATGGTAGTGTCCTGACCTGGAGAGTCTGAGGTCAGTGGCTCTGGTATAGATTTTTATTCCATTTCTTGATTTTGGCAAGCCACTTTTTCAGTGTAACAAGGAGCAGTGTGTAGATTTTCTGTGGCAGTCTGTTTCTTCTGCAGTCCCAACAATTTTTGGACTTGTTTATATGCCTGCGTGTTACCCTGTCTTCAGTTGAGAATCCTGACCCTCGTATTTTCTTTCTTTCTTGCATTCTCTCAGCCTTCACATCATCTCTTCCTTCAGCTTCCTGAATAATTCTTGTCACTGGAGGATCTACCAATATAAAGATATTTAAAAGTTAAATTACAATTTTTGAAAGTTTTGTTGTACTCCATAAACCTTAGAAGCAGATATCAGAATGCTTTGCACGTCACATTGTTCCAGACAGTCCTCGTCCTCCTTCTTTTTTGCATACAACCTGCAGCCTCTTCTTAGATGAAAGCATACTTGATAACCTAAATAGCATTCTTTTGGGGAGGAGGGTACTAAGAATCGAACTCAGGCCCTCATGCTTGCCAGGCAAGCACTATGCTACTGAGTTATATCCTGATCGTAAATAGCATTCTTGTAAGTAATTCTCTACCAAAGAAAAAGCAAAGGTATCAGAAAAGTAACTTTAGGTTTTGTATCAGGATGATAATTTTATGATATTCTGGAAACTTGACAGTTGCTTAAAATCCACAAAAATGTAATAGGAAGAGACTTCTCAGTTTAGTTTTCCAGTATTTTGACAATATGTATATTAAAAGCTAAAACATTTTTAAATTTCATACAATTTGAATGATAATGTAATGGTTAGTCTGGAAATAAAATCACTCATATAGTTAGATGATAAATGAAACATCTATTGGAACTTTGCAATGAGGCAAATATTATAGAAAAATTGATACTGTCCTATGCTTATGTAGGTTCTCTATATCTTCATCATAAATCGAGATACCTGAGAGTATGAAAATACATGTCTTTCAGGCATCATTGTTGCTTCAGAATTTCAAATAAGTGATTTTCTTGATAAATGTAAATTTATTTCTAAAACTCCATTGCTTATACTGAAAAATAACGAGTCGGTGAAAATTGAAATATGATTAATTAGTTAGCAGAATTGAGTTGCTAGAGCAACCAGTACTTTAATCGAAGGCTCTCATTTTACAAAAGCAAAGCTGAGGAAGACAGGGTGAACTGTACAGCAGTCTAAAGCCTGAGCTGGAATTAGCACTGAAGCTTCCGTTTCCCTATCCAGTCTTCTAGATGCTCTGTAGATCCTTCCGCAGAAGCAAGCTCAGTGGATTCTAAGAGAAGGATCAGCAGTGCAGGCCCTGATGGCCTAGCACACCTTTAGAACAGGCTAGCCAATCTGACCAATTTAGAGGGCTAAAAGTGTTAATGGGCCTCCTGGTCTCCTCTGTTACCTTTTTGCATTTTAATAAGAGCTGTCAAGTCACTGAGATAAACTAAGAGTGCCAGTGTCACACATTGGGCAAGCTAGTTGAGGGACATCTTGGTAACATTCAGGTCACCTGTATTCCCTGCTGATGTCATAGAAACACGAAAATATTCTTATCTAGAATTTTTCAAATGCTATGCTTTTCATTAATTGAACATTCTACTAGATATCTTACAATTTGATGACCACATGGTACAGTATATTATTGAAACTTTATATAAGGAAAATATCTGCTTCATTTTGGATAGGCTAGTTGATGCAAAATCGCTGATATAACCACAAAGAATCACTTAAAAAAAAAAAGAGTTCATATTTGTTAGATGAGATAGTTTACCAGTTCATCCCAGTTCTTCCCTAAAATTACTTTTTGGATTTATTTCTTTTTACTCTCACCTTTATCTCTTTTGATTAATATGTATTAATTGCATGCACTAACAAGGTTGAGTATATTTCCACACATGCATTGAATGTACACTGAACAT